CTTACATCCTCTGCTGAATATCTAGACAAATAAGGGGAAAAACAGTGTTTTAAAAAAGCAGGAAGGAAATGTCCCCTATATACTTGAATGACTTGTTTACAGGTTCCCAATCTTCTTCAGGCCTCTCCGCATTCCCTCTGCTGAGCCTCTGTCAGGCGGGGAGACTGGTCTTTGCATCCCACTTTTGTGCAAAAGAGACATAATTCCTTGTCGTGCTGCTCCTGCCCTCTGCAGGCAAGGACTGGCCATTCTCCACTTCTCACACGGATTTTCTTTATCGAGGACTCTCATCTTCAACCATGTCCAGGGCCAGGCAGAGTGCAGAGAGGCGGGTGAACAGCAGGTTGTGCTGAGCACCGCGGTGGACAATGGAAGGGGCTGCTGCTCTGCTCCATGCACCCAATGCAATGATCATGATGCCCCCTGTAGACTGGGGCCTCCATCTGCTAAGTTTCCCTGGGTTTCTGTAGGGTCCAATGAAAGGACAAGGCACGGGAAAAGGATTTTGTGCTTTTAAAGTTTATTCGCACATATTTACCCAGAAATTTAAAAAAGATGGAAATTTCAAAAGTTACTTGTTTCCTCAGTGAAAGGAAGAAAAGACAGCGTTTCCCTATGTAACTGGGGGGAAGAGACGGGAAGAGGGCAGGAGGAAAGGCAGAAGGGGGGTGGGGGAGGAGGCAGACACTGGATAATAAGCCTGGGCCTCCAGGCCTCTGGGAGGGTGCCAGGGTCAGGCCTCCCTCCAAGCAGGGACAGACACTGCATCCACCATCCACCACTCAGTCTCCCCGCCAGGGCTCCAGGAGCTCCTCACTGATCCGTGCTAATGGAGGGCCTCCCAGGGAGAGCCCCTCGCTGGGGATAACTGCACTATGGCAGCACACTGATCCCCCAACTGGGAACACCGAAGCGACCACGAGCAGCCCAGGAAAACACAACATGGAAGAACTGACGACTCAACCATCCCCTTTTCTGATGGTGCTGCTGTCACACAGCAGGGGCTGAACACCAGGACAGCGTGGGCTGACTCCACCTCGCCACGAGTTCCCTGAGTGGACCCTCTCCCGTGGACATCTGCTTGGAACGCACAGCGAGAGGCTGGGATGTGACATGAAGACTTCTGCACTCTCTCGCTCTTAGTGTTGGGACCAAACGACAGAAGGCCCAGGCGAGAAGAGTGAAAGATTACCCCAAACTCATTTCCGCTTGGCCTGTTCTCAACGCGGCATACATATACATATACATACATATATATATATACACACACACACACACACATATATGTACACACACACACACATGCATTTAGTAGACTTTTAATTTTAAAGTATCAGCTAAGGCTTCAAAAAGAGGGTAATATTGAGCCTTCATTTCAGGAGAAAAAATGGAAAACTTTCATTACAGGCTGAAGAAAGAGTTTCAGTGTGTGTTGAACTGGTAAGAAATGTGAATAGCTGCAGTGATCTGTAACAATATATGATAAGTTGTTTTAAGGTAAAATTGAATAATCATTTAATAGATATTGAAAAGTTTTGAGTTTATAATAAGAAAAGTTCCATGTTAAAGTATTCATTTTCATTCCAGTGCTTACTAAAAAATCGGAAAGGCTGTTTCCTTTATGATTCTCTACTTCCCGCCTTTCAGCTCAAATACGGCTAAAATGCAGCTGAAGAGAAAGACTGTTAGCAACTTGCAGTTTCATTTCAAAGCTGAAGGCCAACACAAACATCAACGACTATATTTTATTCCTCTTTTTAAATACAGCAATTCCTCCATCCATGAAAAAAATGGATGTACATATTACAATCCTTCATCAGGAATTTTATCCTCATATTATAAATGTAAATTAAGAAATCTTTCAGATTGATGAATGGATTATTTGGTTCATTTGTTCAATAATTTATTTATTCAGCAATATTTACAGAGTATCTACTATGCCATAGGCACAATTCCAGGTGCTGGAACCTCAAAAATATCTAAAACAGTCTGTGACCTCATTGGGGAGATGACGTTAAAAAATTCAAAGAGAATGTGCTTCCTCCTACGTTTCATTTGTTGAAAAAGATTCTTACAATTATGTATGTTGTTCAGACCCTCTACACTCAGAGGTTGACAAATAAAAGTTAATAGATGACGCCACAACTAAAGGCAACAAAAAGAAGGATATGTTGGACTTCATTAACATTAAGAAATTTGTGTATCGGAGGGTACTTTCAAGAGAATGAAAAGAGAACCTACACACGGGAGAAAAGATTTATAAATCATATATCTGTGAGGATTTAATACCCAGAATAGGTAAATAACTTCTTCAATTGAAGAACAGTAAGACAAGCTGAAAAACGGGCAAATGCCTTGAAGGAACATTTCTCCAAAGAAAATAGACATCGGCCAATAACCATGTAAAAAGATGCCCCAATAGTCACGAGAGAACTGCAAATCAAAGCTAGAATGAGACACCACCCCATACCTGCAAGCCTGCCTACTGAAAGGAAGTGTTGGCAAGGATATGGGGAAATCGGTACCCTATGCTTTGCTAGTGGAATGTAAAATGCAGCAACTGCAGTGTGGAAAACAGTCTGGCAGTTCCCCCCAAATTAAAACATAGAATTATCATATGCTCAGCAGTTCTACTCAATATATGTCCAAAAAACTGAAAGCAGAAATAGATATCTTGAGGGATATTTGTACATCCATGTTCAAGGCAGCATTAGCCATAATACCCAAACATGACAACCAATATGACACCAAGAGATGAATGGAGAAACAAAATGTAGTCAGTTCTCTTTATTTGCAGTAGCTATAGTCCAGAAAGTCATGTTGAACCCCGAATTAGTAAGTATTGAGCCACTCCTTCCAGGGGAAATAAAGGATCAAGGTCCATGGAGCCTTGGACACAGCATTTTGGTCAACTATCCATACACAGCCTTGTTCTATGTGTGTGTCTGTTCAGAGACCCCTTCCTTAATATGCATAGTTTATTCAGTGTCACTGAACTCATGGCCAGCAGTGTAACTCAGGCCAGAACAAAGCTGCCCATACACATAATTTGTCTGTAAGGCACAGTGACAGCTTTCTTGAATTTAGCGACACCAGACAGCATTGAGTGCTATGTTGAGGCCATTTGAAACAGGGAAACCACCAATGAAAAGCACAAAAATGCAAAAAGAGTAGCACTAAATAGAAGGCAAAAAAAAACCAACAACAACAAACTGTCTTGCAAGCAGGATGTGAGCTTGGCTTACTTGATTTCTGCTGGAATGTGCACTCTCGGTGACTCAAATTTTGGGCAACTATGTGAGTGAATGATGGCTAATACACTGAGAGGACTGATTCTGAGGTTATAAATAAATGGAGCTGGTAGGGCAATTCGCAAGCATGGAAAACACGGATGCCGAAGATATGGATACGAATAATAGAATATTACTCAGCCATAAAAAGGAATGAAATGTTTATACCTGCTATAATATAAACACTGGAATCACTATGCTGAGTGAAATCAGCTAGATGCAAAGAACAAGCACTTTATAATTCCACTTACATGAGACATGCAGAACACAGGCAAATTCACAGACTAGAGTTTATCAGGAGTTTAGCAGAGGAGAGAATGGAGAATCTTAGTTGAATGGGTTCAGAGTTTCAATTTGGGATGATGAAAGTGTACGGGAGATGGATCACCATGCAAATGTTAACTAATGCCACTGAATTGCACATGTAAGAATTAGGGCAGATTTCACGTTGTTTTATGAAAGATGGACAGATCCAGTGAAAAAGATTAAATGAATCATGGTAAACTTCTACTGAAGCAAATTCAAATGTACATACTCTGTGGGCACTAAGATTCTTTTTTTACCCACATTCCCTTTTAGAAACTAGAACCTTCCTTAGTATTTTTTTCCTTTTGGTTTATAAAACTAACTATTTAATACTGTGTCAGCTGATTACTGAGGAAAACAAGTAAATTAAAATGTGCAGGCCAGTTATTTGGCTTTACTTCATGTTTCTGCTGAAAATTTATGCAATACTAGAATGATTCTTTCTGACTAACTGCCAAAAGAGAGGCCATCTCGAGACCCAACTCATAGTCTTATTTTTCTTGGGGATGAAATTATCTCAGCAGTACACTGAGAAGGGAATTGGTGCTCTTAGGTAGATTGCTATGGATGTTCCTGAGGTACCGTGGCACTGTGTCTATCTTTTATCATCAACCCATTTGTCATCTGTCTCTGTCTTCTAAAATCCCCATTTTCCTGTCTCCAGAGAGAGCACCATCTGTTAGGATATGGCTTGGTTACTATCATAATTCCAACGTCCTCTTTTAAATATTTCTTGACCCAACAATTACAAAGAAGCATCGCTGAATATAAACATAAATGAAATCTGCTAATGGGGAATTCAGACACTATTAAAATACAAACTTAAAATAGGAGAGAATTCATAGCCAAAGAGAAATCTATTAGAATTCTTTCAATCTTTTAAAATGCATCATAAAATAAAAATGTTTCACTACAGAATAACATTTTGGCTTCTTTGGTGACAGGAAAGAAGGATAATTATGATTGTCGTGAAAACACATTGAGCAGCTGTATACAGTTAACAAAAGAACTATTATAAAATGCTCACAAGAACTGGCACTTTCACACATTCACATTTCCTAGAAATTCGATAGTCTTCCCAACTGCAGTAGATACCAAAAGAGACTGTTTTCTATTAATTGTGGCTTTGTACCAGTTGAGTTTTTAGAGCCAACTGGATTATCCCTCTTCTGGGACAATTCCCACATACTATTATGTAGGATTTATATACACCCAGAAGTGCGTACATTAAAATGTTCTAAAAAGTGATTTTTAAATTCAATATAGACTTTTAACTCTTACAAAATGCCCATTTCATTAGAGTCATTCACACATGCACATCTGTTTGGAAATCAGTTAACAAAACAAGAGTGTAACGAATAATTCTGCAGTTTGTTTTATCAGGGCTAATTAATAGGTACTTACTCATTAAAGACTAGGTCTGGTGCAAAATAGAGAAATTGGCTGTTCGTATGTTTGTACGATCTCCAGCTCAAGGCAAATGATGATAGACACATCCAAGAATACTGGATTAGGGTAATTTGGTCCTCAAGAGGCAAGTTTTTAAATCCTGAAGAACAGAACAATTAATCACAGAAATACACTTAGCATTTAAGTACATTCCAGGAAGAAGCTTCTTAAGTCTGCCCCACACGGCCACCTTTCTCTAATAGACACAAATCAATTCCACAGGCATTTACGCTGTGCTCCCCACATGCCTGGCCACGGAGACAGCTTCCTTTTACATTCACTTGAAACGCTCAGTGAGTGTGAACGGCCAAATCTAACCAACACTGGAGAGTTCAGTGAGATTCCGTAGAACGGCAGCCTCATCTCTTGGTCAGACTGAAAGAATCTGCATTACCCTTAAAACTTACGTCAGCCCCACACAATCACACTAAGAGGGTAATTTAATAACTGCTGACATCTGCATGTCTATACAAATGACAAAGGATTTTACTTTTCATGACTCTGTGGTACTTAAAAATTATTTCTTGCTTCCCATAGTCTGGGAAAATACTAGATGTTGACTTTTTGTTGTTTTTAGTGTGGTAGGTAGTAGGGATTGAACCCAAGGTCTCATGCATAAAGTGTTCTACCACTGTATTACATGCCCAGCACTTTCAAAAAAAAATTTTTTTTTTTTTAAGATTTTGAGACAGGGTCTCACCAAGTCAATAAGTTGCCCAGGCTGGCCTCAACCTCGTAACCCTCCTGTCTCTGCCTCACGAGTAGCTGGGATTATAGGCCTGTGCTGCTGTACCGTGTCTGCTAACAATGTCGTATCATAGAACAGGCATCCTTGGCACCCAGTTCAGTAAGTGATCTCACAGCTTTCTTGTTCCTTTCTGGCCCCTTCTGTTCCCAATGGCGTCGAGCTATTCTTCCTGCTGTAGACTTTCACCGGGGCTGATTCACTTGAAAGGATCTGCCCCAGGACACTTTTGTGTTGTGGCTGCTGCCTGACCATAGATCAGCTAGGAAACAGCTCTCGATTCACAGACTGAGACAATCTGATAACATTCCTACACTTAATCTACTTCTGTAGATTAGTAAGGCCTTATTAATAAAATCCTGTGTCCTAGAAAATGACTGAACAGTAGGAATTGCAAAGGCGATTTTAAGGATGTGGGGTGGCCTGCGCTTACTTGACCTGTGCCCAGAGCACCCCAACTCTGAGCTGCTAATATCGGGCTCCGTCGTGTTTGCACCAACAGAATGCACTGCACTTTATTAACACGTTTAGGATAAAATTCCCACTTCAATCACCAACATAAGGAATGTAACGCTAGAATCCTGAACCCCAAACTGTCATAAGAAATGAGCCCAAACCAGACTTTCCTACACGCCGACCGACCGCATCAATTGGATGTCAATTTCCAGCTGTGATACAAGGACGTAGCCCGGGGAATCCCGAGGGCGAAGACCATCGCCCCGATGCGTCCAGATGGCGACGCAAGCTGTGGCGGAGAGTTGAGGAGTCCTACCTGGAAGCACCTTTGCCCACTTCACGACTTGAATCATCTGCTTGCCGGCCAGGCGGTTGAGAGTGGACAGCAGGTGCTCCGCCGTGTCTGGCTTGGAGCCATCGTAGCCCGCGTACACAATTTCCGGCTCGATGCTTTCCAGGATCATGGCCGGGGACGGGGTGAGAGCTCGAGAGATGGTGCAGAGCTGCGGAACCAGGGCTGTATTGACCGAGGGCTCCTTCGCCGGAGCAATGTACGTGGTCCCCTCCTCAGGGCTCTGGGGGGGCCGGGGCGGAGGGGGCGGCTGCTGCGGCTGCTCCTCGTGAATGCCTTTTAACTTGCCCAACTTCTTTGACTTTCGAGCTGTTAAGAGAAATCACAGACAAGGCACAGGAAAATGATCTTTGGAAATTATTTTTTTTGTGATCACAGGTATGATCACGATAGGGAGTGAATGCTTAAATTAAAAAAAAATTACAGTACAAGAGATACTGTCATGAATCCCCCTCAAAACGCTCCTCACTTCACACACACTTATCCCACTGTGCCTGCCGTTTGCTGAAGCAGTTCTGCAAGTCCTCTCTCAAGAATGTCAGTTACACTTGACGTCATGAGTCCACTGACAATGCCTACTTTTCATGGTTATCTTGTCTTTAGGGAAGAGCCAGCACCAGGGTGCTAGATCAGGTGGATGACAACAAGCCATAATATTTTTACAAGATCACTTTTTTATGAGATCGCACTCAGCAGCAGCAGCAACCATGTTTCTGATCACACCTCTTAAACACAACTCCCCAAAGTGGACTTCCAGAAATGCTTCAGAAAGTGGCAAAATGGTGGGGTGAATGTGTTCAAAGCCAGGGGAGTATTCTGAGGGGGATTCATGGCAATGTGTTGTTTACTGTATTTTTTTTTTTAAATTCAAAGACACCCTACTTTTTAATGTACCACAAGTAGATATTAATAAAGACAATATTAAAAAGTACTCTTCTTACTTTATAACAAATTTCCTAACAAAATACAGGATAACAATACTCAATACACTATGTACTATAATATTAAAGGGCCAAAATGTTACTCAGAGTTAGAATCATAGACAAAAAAAGACTCTCCTACAAACAAGTAAAAACACAAAACTCCCTTTTCAAAGAATTAAGAGAAACTAGAAGTTTAAATGAAACAAAATAGAATACATATCGAAATGTGTTTGAAACAAAGGAATAGAGAATTTGGGGAGTTACTTGAACTTCTCTTTGCTTCCCACAATTTTCTTCATCTTCTGTTTTGTTCTTTATTTATATATGTATATAATTTGAGCTACATAAGAGAAACCATGTGACATTTAGGCTTTTGTGTTTGACTTATTTCACTTAGCGTTATGTTTTCAATTTACATCCATCTGCCCACAAATGCCTCAAGTTTATTTTTATGGCAAAGTAGTACTCAATTGCATATAAATATATTCTCGTTATTCATTTATCTGTTGATGGACATATATGCTGTTTCACCATCTAGTTATTATAAATGATGCTGCTATAACTATGGGTATGCAAGTATCCCTGTGATATGATGACTTTAACTCCTTTGGGAAGATACCTACAGGGGCACAGCTGGGTCACATGGAATTTCTATTTTTAGGTTTTTGAGGAATCTCTACACTGATTTCCATAGCGGCTGTAGTAGTTTACATTCCCACTAATAAGGTAGAAGAGTTCCTTTTTTCCCCACAGCCTCACCAGCATTTGTTATTTTATTTTTTGTTGATAGCTTTCCTTTCTAGGGTAAGAAGGTATCCCAATGTAGTTGTAATTTACATTTCTCTAATGGCCAGTGGTGTTGAACATTTTTTCAAGTATTTATGGACCATTTGTTCTTGCTCTTCTGAGAAATGTCCATTCATTTCAGTTGTCAATTTTTTGACTGGGTCTTTTACTTTAGATATTTTTTTTGAGTTCTTTATATATTCTAGATGTTAGTCCTCTGTCTAAGGATAGCTAAGCAAAATTTTTTCCCATTCTGTAGTTTGTTTCTTTACTCTGTTGTTTCCTTTTCTGTGCAGAAGCTTTTTAATTTGATACGATCCCATGTGTTGAGTTTTGGTATTATTTCTTGTGCCACTAGGATTCTGATCAGAAAGTCCTTGCCTATACCTGTCTTCAAGAGTTGGACCTATTTTTTAAGTGTTTCTGTTTTACCATTTAGATGTTTGATCCATTTTGATTTTAGTTCAGTACATGGTATACATATGGGCCTCAACTCAAGTCTTCTGCATGGAAATCCAGCTTTCCCAGCAGCAGTTATTAAAGAAGCCATCTTTTCTTCAGTGTATGTTTTTGGGCCCTTTGTCAAAAATCAAATAGTTGAATGTGCCTGGGGTTGTTTTTTCTATTCTGTGCCACTGATCCACATGCTTGCTTTGTGCCAGTACCATGCTGTTTTAATTACAGTAGCATTGTAATATTAACTTCAAATCTGGGACTGTGATGCCTCCTGCTTTGTTACCCAGGATGGCTTTTGCTATTCTGGGTCTCTTCTAGTTTCCCATGAAGTTTAGGGCTATTTTCTCTAGATCTGTGAGAGATGCTGTTGGTATTTTGATTTCTAATGCGTTAAATCTATTATATCAGCTTTGGAATTATAGTCATTTTGATTATGGTGGTTCTGCCTACCTAGAAACAAGGGCTATCTTCCCAGTTTTTGATGTTGTCCTGGATTTCCTTTTTTCAGAATGAGGTGATTTTCATTGTAGAGGTCTTTCACTTCCTTGATTGGGTTAATTCCTAAGTATTTAATATTTCTTAATGCTATTATGAATGGTATGGTTTTCCTATTTTTTTTCTCAATGAGTTCATTATTAGTGGATAGGAACACTATTGATTTTTGTGTGTTTATTTTGTATCCTGCCTCATTGCTTAATTTCATTACTAATTTTAAGAGTTTCTTGGTGGGATTTTTAGGGTCTTATAGGTATAGATTCATGCCATATACAAATGATGATACTTTGAATTTATCCTTTCCTATATAGCCCTTTTCTTTCTTTCTCTTGCCTTACTGCTCTGGTTAATGTTTTGAGTATATGGTGAACAGGAGTGGTGATGGTAGACATCCTTGTCTTGTTCCTGGTTTTAGAGGGAAAGGCCTCAGGTTTTCCCATTTAATAGGATGTTACAGTAGATTGGTCATAAATGGCTTTCATCAGATTGAGACAAGGCCCCTCTATACCTTCACCCACATTTTTTGATCGGCCCATGTACATGAGATAAATTACAATCAAATATTGACATACTGGTTAAAGCATTTGTCCTTCCTTCTAAAGAAGTCTTGTTATACGATAGGAACACTACCTTTTACATCTTTTCCTGAGAGAAAACCTACAAAGCTCAGTTATTACTGCTTTGGGTATTTGGCTAATAAATGGCTCATTCATCCGTTCTGCTGATCTTCACTGCCTGTGTCTATAAGCAGAGGGCTACAGGGACCCAGCTGATATCTGCAGTATGATCAAGCCTCACCTTGTCCTCAACAGGTGTGCAGCCTTGTGGGGGAAGAGCTGGGAAAGGCCTCACGAAACTGCACTGAGTGCAGACAGAGATGGGTTCCATGATAAAAACAAAAATAGCTAAAATGTGTTGAATGCTTACGAATACCAGGTACTGCTATAAAGGTCTCATCAAAATTAACCAATTCAACACTTTTTTGACTTGGTACTATAAGCAATCTGAGACCAGAGAGGTTAAGGACTCTGCCCAAGGCCATATAGCTCATGTATACAAAATACAGCTCCCAGCTGAATGACTTCACAGCGACCACGGTGAGCACCGGGAGAGGGAGATGGGTACACCGAGTGATGGTTAATGCGACTGACAATTTGATTGGCTCGAGAGATGCCCAGGAGACTTATGGGTGGGTCTGGGTGGCTCATGGGAGAGCGGCACTGGGGACTCTCTGTGCTCTTGTCCTTGGGCTCATGCCCTGCTCTCTACTTCCAGGCCGCCACGAGGTGAGCAGCTTTCCTCGGTCAGGCCCTTCCGCCATGATGTTTCTGCCTTGGAACCCCAGGGGACCTCTGAAAGCATGACATGAAATAAACATTTTCTCCTTTATTTTTCATTTATTCTGTTTTATGGTACTGGGGATTGAACCCAAGGCCTTCCCACTAAGCTGCATCCCTCAGCCCTTTTTATATTTTTATTTTGAGATGCGGTCTCACCAAGCTGCTAAGTTGCCCAGGCAGGGCTTAAACTTCTGACCCTCATGCCTCAGCTTCCCAGAGCGCTGGGATTACAGATGCGTGCCACGATGCTCAGCTCTTCCTTTTCCCCTTCAGACTGTGTACATGCAGCGTTCTGTCCCAGCACTGGCACGCTGACTAATACAGAAGGGTAGGTAATTGTGAAGAGGAATGAAGGAATGGATAAAATTAGAAAAGTCAAAAGTGCCCAATTAAGTTGGGGCTGTGGTAACAAGTTACTTTCAACTGTAATGTTTTCAATTTACTCAAAAATTCTTGAAGAACCATGCACTTCTACTTATTCCTAACATACAACCCAAACTTACAGGATATAAATTCAACACAGAACAGAGCTGCACAATACCAATGAATCTGATTTTAAAATAACCTTTCACATTTGTAATGACAGCCATTAATATCTATCACAGAAAAACCTATAATTCAGGTAAGACAAGCTACCATCAAACAACAGATATATCTGCTACAGTTATTAAATATCTGTAATGGGCTTAAGAGTTAAATAAGACCTAATTCTTGTCTCTAAGGAGGTTAACATTAACCAAAAAATTTAAATTTCATCATTAATTTATAGACTATATCTTTCTATACAAGATATGAGGAAGACAAATCTGTTCCAGGGAAAAACAGGTGTATACCAGTCATCAACTCTGGTTCATATAACTTCTCCTAAACCTCAGTTGATTCATCTGAAAAACGGAATGATAATGTCATCTCCTGTCTCAGATAAATGGCTAAAAACATGTTAGAAATGATTACTAATGTCTGATATAATATGTCAATATCACTTTCATTCTTTCTCAAAATTCTGTGTTAAAAATATTCTAGTTTATTAAAATGTTCTCATCCTTTGTAAGACTACATTTGATGATAACCATAATTTGATCGACTAGGAACAGCAGCCATAGGTGATATCTTCAAATTTTATTAAAAGTAATACTTTCTTGCAAATTAATTATAAGACTCATATTTGTTTTAGGCCATAGGCCTATAATTCTGTGTTTATTCTCATGGCTGATTTAAAGTCAATGCTAAGATATATCATGAAGAACACTTAATGTTTTCTCTAGCATGTACATATCATGCTGTTTTCTGTAGCATAACATATTAAGCA